CTAACATTAGCATTAGCGCAACTTCTTGTAAGCTGTACAACAATCACTGATGAAATGGTACTAAAGCAACGCACAGCTAACACAATATATAGGTAAAAGAATACTGCTAGTTTCGCATTCAAATGTATTCATTAAAACATTAGAACATATTCGAGTAATTAATTATAATTTATTATACAGCTCCTCACAGCAGCAGTAGAACACTCCATTGACTTGAATGTAATTCTACCGATCTTTTTTTTTTAGAACTCTCAAATCAATAATGACCGCTGCCCTTTGGCAACGCAATCTCTGTTTGTAATTCAGGTGTGTAAAATACTGCCATTACTCCGCAAGTACAACGAGAGAAGCTAGCCGAGCTAGCCACACTCAATAAACAACTAGCTACATATCTATCAATCAACACCATTAAACGTTAATCGGACAGTACAGTACACATATACATCCTTAACACACATGCACAGACGTTTTTCAGAATTTCTTGTTATTGTTTTCATGACCAAATTACTATTTTAATGTGACAAAAAGCGATCGCGAAAAACCCGGAAGTTACCATTAACATGTAGTTGGGAGCTAGCTAGCTTAGCTGTTACCTGCCTAGCACGTCCCGGTGAAACCTTTGGGAGCTAACTATTTTATTTGCAGTTGTTGAATACATTTTGAATTGTAAGGGCTGTCTAATATGTGTGTGAATATATATATTTTTTTAATTTTAGAATTATATTTGAATTTTGAAGTGGAAGCCCTGGTGTTAAGCAGCGCTGTAGAGGCTAGAGGACACAGGCTGTTCACTGCTCGTTCTGTGAGTGGAGGAGAACAAACGGCCGCTCAGACTCTACTCAGCACTTTTCACTGCTTGTATTCTTACACCGCTGAATCAATTACTTCAAGTTTTCAATTAAATTATGTATTATAATACAACTTGTATGTAGTAATAAGCATTTTTATCAACTACTTAGAAAAAAAATTGGGTATAGCTTCTTTAAGGAAGACTGTTTAGCTGCATGAATCTGAAATCCTGTCTTAACTCTGGGACCAGCAGGAGGCCAGTCCCTGTGCTCCTCAGACTTCACATTGGTTTCTGCTGAAGCAAAAAGTTGTGTCTGGACAGGTTTTGGTGATTATTGCCAAATATTTAGCGAGTGAAGATTCACTTTACTGAGAAATGTAAAGTGAAGGAATTACACAGAAGGAAGTGACAGTCAGGTTTATTCATGTGTTATTGTCAATTTAACCGTTTAATGTTGTGCAACTGTTTAGACACTCAATCAAATCAATGCGTTATGAAAGTAGGTTTGGCACACATGGTTTAGCTCTGGTGAAATACAGTCATGGTCTAGACCTGTTTCCAAACCCTTAGGTCTGGATGGCCACAGTGCTGTCTATAGCAAGTCTAAATCATGTCATGGCCTGTTTTAACCATAGACCAAGTACCAGGAGTGGACCGACAAGGAGTAAGTAAGTAATCATTATTTATATAGCACCTTTCACAGAACTGTCGAGCTTTACAATTGTGGACATTTGTCTCTCATTCAACACATGTGAGCAAGGTGTGACATCACCAGTGTAAGCCGACCACAGCTGTCATTATGACTGCTTCTGTTCAAACCACTCTCCGGTCTGCCACTGGTCTCTCTCTGGTCTCTCTCTGGTCTCTCTCTGGTTTGATTTGATTTTTTATTTATTTCATTCATTTAAGAACAAATACAACAACAGCATTTACTATGAATGAAAAGGAGCAGAAAGAAGTAAAAACTTATAATATCTGCCCCCTGTCAACACAAAATATTTTACAGCTCCAGTGCATTTGAGCCTCTAATGCAACTCTGGCAATTCCAAACTCAAAACTCAAAACACAAAATAAAGGTTACTGATCCACAGTGATGCATTTCTGCAACATCAATAATTTTGCAGACTTTTTAAACACAAAATCGGACGAAGAAGTTTTGATTTTACACTCGAGACTGCTCCACAGATCGACTCCTTTGATTGAGATACATTTTTCCTTTACAGAAGATTGAAACCTGGGTTTATTAAAGATCTCTGTTCCTTTTAATTCGCATCTACTTTTTCTCTTGGCGAATCTGTTTTGCAAATTCATGGGTAAACTTTCCAGATGAGCTTTATACATAATTTTCAGCAAGTTATACTCTACTAGTTCATTAAATTCCAGTGTTTTTAATTGTATAAATAATGGATTAGTTGTGTTTCTATATCCACTACCTGTGACAACCCTTATGGCTCGTTTCTGTAGAAGAAAAATCTGATTTATATTTGTTTTGCAGGCACTTCCCCAAACTTCAATACAACAAGTCAGATATGGAACAATTAATGCATTATACAGTACAAACAATGCTCTCTTATTTAGAGTCTTTGACTTTGTGCAGCACGGCTATAATTTGGGAGACCTTTACTTGAACATTATCAATATATGATTTCCATGTCAAATGTTCATCAATCATAACGCAGCGCCGTTCGCCGTGATCACAGCCGCTGGAAGTGGTGCTGCTGTCCGGAGCGCTGTGGCGCCCGCAGCTCATCATGCAGAGTTCATACAGGAAACAACAAGTGCCCCGCGGTCACGCGTGTATTCTTTCAAAACTTGAATTCCCAGAGGACCCTCTGTCCCCATCTTACACACGCATGTGTCCGCGGCATTCTGAGTGTTATTATGGGACGCATGGGCATGCGTCAAATGCGTTAATTTTTTAAACGCGATTAATGACAAAAATTAATTAACGTGCGTTAACGCGATAATTTTGACAGCCCTAATTAATATACAACAAAAAAAGTATAGGTCCCAGCACCGATCCTTGGGGTACCCCGCAAGTTATTTTACAATTCTCAGATCTTATATTGTCAATTTCAACAAATTGTTTTCTGTTTGTTAAATAGCTGGTAACCCATTGATGTGCCACACCTCTAATGCCCTACTTATATAATTTATGCAACAGTATCTTGTGGTCTAGTGTATCAAACGCTTTTTGAAGATCTACAAAAATGCTTACTAAATAGTGCTTTTTGTCTAGAGCATCGGTGATCTCTTCAGTTAGTTCCATTAACGCTGTAGCAGTTGAGTGATTAGGACAAAACCCATACTGGCTGCTACTTAACCTCTTAACAACCGCCTCATTTTGGCTCGTGCACAATGGTTGGGCATACCCAAATGTCTTTGCTTATTTAAAAACACATCTTACATCTCACATGCTTGTGTGATGCATCATTTTAAAGCTAGAGCCTTCTAGTTTATGTAAAAAAACACTAAAATAATGTTTGTCATTCCTATTTTCCTCTGCATCCTTTGAAGTTAGGGAAAAAAACCCAATTTTTTTAGCCTCGCCTAACATTTTCAATTTCTAAAGGCCCTAAAAAAGGCATACTTCATTGTAAGTTCACAATATTCAAACCCTCTGTTCATTGTGTTGTTGACAACAACTGTCTAAAGTTTCAGACTTGTAAGTTTTATAGTTTTTATGAAGTTTCTCCTTTTCATCAAGTAGTGCACATTTGGCACAATTTGGCACAAGTGTGCCAAATTGTGCCAAATATCTTTACTTACATTTAATCATCATAAAAACAATATTTTTCATTATTGGTACTTATAAGTTACTAATCTATGTGTGTTTTTCTTTTTTCAATGTCAAAGTTATTTTTTTATGAGTGTAAATTCATTGCAGCTTCGAGAGCGTCTTTTGGCTTCCATTACGCACAATTGTCCAGGCACAACATAAGACAGGACACCATTGTCCCACCCCTTGTTCGAAAGCCCTCCTCATTGGCTACAAGGACATGTCAATCGTAAATCCCGGAAGTAAAAGCAAACAAGTTGGGAGCACAACAAAGATCAGTCCTCCATGCGCAAACAGCAGCACGAGCGGTACTTGCGGGAGCTATTGCAGACCCAAAAATTGGTCTAGCTTTTCGGGAGTAGTCTCATTTGAAAGATAAGGAGCTAAGGAACACGTAGATACCAGATGTTTGGGTGAAAAACAAAGCTAAAAGTCCGTTCAAAGTGAAAGAGTAACATCTGTGCTCTTTTTTTTCGTTTTTTTCGCTAAAGATAAATGCACATTTTTGGATTATTTCTGCAGAATGGATTTTACTTTGGGAAATACAAGTGGATATAATTTTCCTTTGGACTGTTCCAGAGAGAATGATGTATTGCAAGCTGGGAGGAGAGCTGATTTATTTGTACAGCACAAGCCCAAAGGTAAAAAACTATTTCGGAATTGATTTATTTTGTGCCCACATTATGTGTTATATCTTTTGAATGCAAAGTCTGATGTAGTTTACACTTGTATATAAATGTAGATAAGAAAATAAGCTTTAAAATGATATACAGCTTTTGGGGTTTGGTGTTCAAAATACATCTGCTATTGCCAGCAGAACATTTAAAAACATAAAAACGGCCGCCGGCGCGCCGGTTGTTGCAAAGTGGTTAATAACTTTAATTAATTTAAAAAGGTTCAATAATGACATCTATAATTTGCTTTATCAGTGTCATACTCATATCTGTGTAGTCGGCTGATTTCTTATTCACACACTTCAGAACAATTGTCAATATCTCACTAGCCTGCACACTTTCGAGAAAAATACTGTTAATATTATCGGGTACTGTTCCACCACTGGTATTTCCATCAGGAATCTGTTGTGACAAGGATGGTCTCTCTCTGGTCTCTCTCCTTTCTCCGGTCTCTGTCTCACTGGTCTCTCACTGGTCTCAGTCTCTCTGGTTACTCTCTGGTCTCTCTTTGGTGTGTCGCTCTGGTGTCGCTCTGGTGTCTCACTGGTCTCTGTCTCACTGGTCTCTGTCTCACTGGTCTCAGTCTCTCTGGCCACTCGCTGGTCTCTCTCCGGTCTATCACTAGTCCCTCTCTGGTCTCTCACTGGTCTCTCTCTGGACTTTACTTTTACATGGAACAGAGTTGGAATTGCCTATTGCGTTAGCATTGAGTTAGCATGTTAGCATTGCCCGTCTGTGAACCGTGTGTGTCACTCACAGTACTGGCTCTCGCTCACAGAGAACTCCTGGACCGGAACCGAGTCTGAGTCCATCCTCACACACAGCACTTTCCTCTGAAGGGAAGACGACCTCCGGACCACAAACGTCTGCTCAGGACACACACACGCACACATATAGAAGAAGACAGTTAGTCAGTTGTACTAAGAAACAGGGTAAAAGCGAAGGACTCTACTCTACTCTACTCTACTCTACTCTACTCTACTCTACTCTACTCTACTCTACTCTACTCTACTCTACTCTACTCTACTCTACTCTACTCTACTCTACTCTACTCTACTCTCTCCTGATTGGGAGTGTGTCCTGTGTAACCAGTATCACCTTCTTTAGTCCCTCTTGGTCCTGGTTCTATCCAGGCCGAGCTGGTACTAAAGTGTTCTAACTGACAGTGATTGGCCACAGAGCTGCTGGAAGCCATGGTTACCAAGGAATGTCCCTGTATACTGTATTGTAAAGTGTAATGGCAACACATCCAGGTAGAGCAGAGTAAAGTAGAGTAGAATGATCAACAGAAACAAAATCGTATTAAAATCAGTTCTCACCCCTGGAGGCTGTGTTTGGAGCAGCTGCAGCGCCCCCTGCTGGTCCAGTGTGAGCTGCAGCCAGACAGAGTGAGTGTGGATCAGTCTCTCCAACACTGTGAGCTTTCTGTGGAGAGATCCGGAGTAACCCGAGTCCCTGAGACCAGAGGGACCAGAGGGAGAAGGGGAGGGACCGGAGCTGACCCCAGAACAGCGGCCTGAGCCTGGGGAGCCGTGCGGGAACAGACCCCCCACGTCCTGGTCCACACTGAGGGCAGAGAGAGGGTTACAGATGCAGGTTCGAGGCTTACACCTATAACTACATTTAGAGCTGGGATACCTAACTTATATTTATTTATTCAATTAAATGCTTATATTTGTATTCATATATTTGTTTTAGTTTTGTTGAAAGTAACTATTTTATTTGAATGACATTTACTTTTTTCATTCTTTAGAAAGAGAGACCAGAGAGAGAGACTAGAAAGAGCCCAGAGAGAAAGAGACCAGAGAAACACCAGAAAGTTATATTCGGTTAATTGAACTATAAATCACACATCTAACACAATTTAAACGAAATAAACTGTAATATCATGTATATTTGAGGTCAAAAGTCCTCTTGTGTTTTGCTACAGTACAGATTGAAGACACGGGACACTTTACGTTTACAACAATAGTAAACAGCTCCCTCTGGTGGTGGTCAGCTTCTATGTTTCATAAATATTACATGTTTTTCCAAATAGAAAGAGAAATAATAGCTGGAAAATGATACAACGTAAAGCCCCATCAGTGAATATTAGATTTTCCTGTTTCTTGTTAATATACAGTGTTTGACGCAAAAGAGTATAATACAACAATACATGATACTTTATGGTTGTACAAATACGCGTGAAATCTGGTCTTAAAGCTGCGCAACTTTCAAACCACATCAATATGTCACTTGTTTCTGGATCTATAACAGGTCTCTCTTCAGACAGAAGAGAAAGACTAGTGAGAGACCACAGAAAGTGTGATTAGAGAGAGACCAGAGAGATGACAGAGAGACCAGAGAGGGCGACCAGAGAGGGACCAGAGAGGGACCAGAGAGGGACCAGATAGAGACCAGAGAAAATGTGATTAGAGAGAGACCAGAGAGGGCGACCAAAGAGGGACCAGAGAGAGACCAGAGAGGGCAACCAGAGAGGGACCAGAGAGAGACCAGAGAGGGCAACCAGAGAGGGCAACCAGAGAGGGACCAGAGAGGGACCAGAGAGACCAGAGAAAGTGTGATTAGAGAGAGGCCAGACCGAGAGAACACAAAGGGCCCAGAGAGAGAGACTACCCAGAGAGCGACCAGAGAGAGAGACCAGAGAGAGACACCAGAGAGAGATACCAGAGTGAGTGTGACTAGTGAGAGACCAGAGAAAGTCTGACTAGAGAGACCAGAGAGAAACTAGAGACCAGAGAGGATCCAGAGAGAGACCAGAGTGAGCTAAAATAGAGATTTTAATTACTTGTTTCACACGTATTGTTTGCCAGATTTTTTGATCTGCCAATCAGCTCTCAGCCCAAAGAGTCAAATAGTGACTCACAGGGATCTTTATTACCCAAGTTGCATAACGTTGGAGACATCAGGGAGTGCTCTGATCATTGTTCTTTTACTGAACTCTTTAATGGCTGACCTCTCTGTGGGGTCTCTGCTCCTGTGTCCCATCTCCTTCTTCAGAGTCCCCAGTTCAATCGCAAACGACTCAATCAGCTGCAGGAGAAACAGACGGGTGTTAATCATCATAATGAGGAACTCACATTTAGAATAAAAGAAAGCACCATTTCACACAATTGTAAAATTACAGACGTCAACAAAGCAGTTTGAGGAACAGCAGGTGTCAGAAGGAAACTGAATATCTATGTACAGCATGTTTCACAGCTTTCTGGTGTCTCTCTCTGGACTCTCTCTCTCTGGACCCTCTCTGGACTCTCTCTGGACTCTCTCTGGACTCTCTCTGGACTCTCTCTGGACTCTCTCTGGACTCTCTCTGGACTCTCTCTGGACTCTCTCTGGACTCTCTCTGGACTCTCTGGGTGTTCACATTAACAATAAACTGGACTGGTCCCATAATACAAACGCCCTGCACAAGAAGGGCCAAAGTCGCCTCTTCCTTCTGAGGAGGCTGAGGTCCTTCGGAGTGAGCAGGCCTCTGCTCAGGACTTTTTATGACTCTGTGGTAGCTTCTGCCATTTACTACGCTGCCGTGTGCTGGGCCCCGGGCAGCACAGAGCGGGACAGAAACAGACTGAACAAGCTGGTCAGGAGGGCCAGCTCCACTCTGGGCTGCTCCCTGGACTCTGTGGAGGAGGTGAGGGACAGGAGGGTGCTAGCCAAAGCCACCTCCATCATGAACAATACCTCCCACTGCACAGGACTGTAGAGGAGCTGAGGAGCTCCTTCAGTGGAAGACTGAGGCACCCTCAGTGTAGGAAGGAGCGCTACCGCAGGGCCTTTATCCCCACCGCTGTCAGACTGTACAATAAGTCACTTTAAATGATCACTGTGTGAAAACCTGCACTACTATTGACACTGTTTCCAATTGACACTTGTCACTTTTGTTGTACATAATTATTGTCACTTTATTGTACATATATCCTGCATGTAACATGTTTGCACATTTCCTCCCTTTGCACAATCTGAGTGTCTCTATCCATGCCAAATGTGACATGTAAATTTCTCCTCTGTGAGATAAATAAAGCAATCTTATCTTATCTTATCTCTCTGGACTCTCTCTCTCTGGACTCTCTCTCTCTGGACACTCTCTCTCTGGACACTCTCTCTCTGGACACTCTCTCTCTGGACACTCTCTCTGGACACTCTCTCTGGTCTCTCTCTCAGGTCTCTCTCTCTGGTCTCTCTCTCTGGTCTCTCTGGTTAGTTTCTTTCTCTGATCTCTTTCTCTCTTGACTTTCTCTCTCTGGTCTCTCTCTCTGGTTAGTCTCTCTCTCTGGTCTCTCTCTGTGGTATCTCTTTGTGGTCTCTTTCTCTCTAGACTTTCTCTCTCTGGTCTCTCTCTCTTGGGGGCCTCTCTCTCTGGTCTCTCTCTCTCTGAGGGTGAATACCTTGAAAAAGCTGCCCCTCTTCCTCTCTGCAGACATGGCTTCAGCGTCTGAAAGAAGAAACAAAGAAACATTATCCACTATTTTTGACTAAACTTTGACAATTTACATTTTAGAGTCTGAAAAAATATCCTCAGAGGAAAACATGATGAAACAAGTATGAAGTCCAAGACAAAGATCTACAGCCTCAGTTCTGGATCTACAGCCTCAGTCCGGGGTCTACAGCCTCATTCCTGGGTCTACAGCCTCAGTCCGGGATTACAGCCTCAGTCCTGGATCTACAGCCTCAGTGACCACATATTATTTATTTCTTCTCCAGATTAGCCACAGACCGCCGCTTTAATGTGGATGAAGGAAAGTCTCTGTGAGAATAATCTGAGTCTTTCTCAAGCTAAAGCTTCAGATCGGACTTTGTTTATTATGAATATTTTTTCCATATGTGAAAATGGACAGATGTGGATCACAGATGTTAGATGATGAACTACAGCTGTGAACAACTTCCACAAACATTGATACCTCATCCAAAAACAAGACCAGAGAGAGACAAGAAAGAGAGACCAGAGAGAGAGGCCAGAGAGAGACCAGAGAGAGGCCAGAGAGAGAGACCAGAGAGAGACCAGAGAGAGAGGCCAGAGAGAGAGAGAGACCAGAGAGAGAGGCCAGAGAGAGAGAGAGGGACCAGAGAGAGAGGCCAGAGAGAGAGGCCAGAGAGAGAGACCAGAGAGAGAGGCCAGAGAGAGACCAGAGAGAGAGACCAGAGAGAGAGACCAGAGAGAGACCAGAGAGAGAGGCCAGAAAGAGACCAGAGGGAGAGACCACAACACATAACTGTACAAAGACACACAACTGTAACTAATTCAATGTATTTATGTACATCAGGCAGGAGTAAAGGTCAAAACTACTTTACTCCACAGTGATTGGCCAGAGTGCTGTTGAAAACCATGGTTACCAAGGAATTTCCACAGATAGTAGTTTGTTGTGGGGAGTTTGCTAGAAAGTGTGCAAGGCAGAGTACAGTAGAGTACAATAGAGTAGAGTAGAAAACAGAAGAAACGAGTACAGTAGAGTAGAGTACAATAGAGTAGAGTAGAGTAGAGTACAGTAGAGTAGAAAACAGTAGAGTAGAGTACAATAGAGTAGAGTAGAGTAGGGTAGAGTAGAAAACAGTAGAGTACAGTAGAGTACAATAGAGTAGAGTAGAGTACAGTAGAGGAGAGTACAGTAGAGTAGAAAACAGTAGAGTAGAGTACAGTAGAGTAGAAAACAGTAGAGTAGAAAACAGTAGAGTAGAGTACAATAGAGTAGAGTAGAGTACAATAGAGTAGAGTAGAAAACAGTAGCGTAGAGTAGAAAACAGTAGCGTAGAGTAGGGTAGAGTAGAGTATAGAGTACAGTAGAGTAGAAAACAGTAGAGTAGAGTACAGTAGAGTACAACAGAGTAGAGTAGAGTAGAAAACAGTAGCGTAGAGTAGGGTAGAGTAGAGTATAGAGTACAGTAGAGTAGAATAGAAAACAGTAGAGTACAGTAGAGCACAATAGAGTAGAGTAGAGTACAATAGAGTAGAGTAAAGTAGAGTAGAGGAAAGTACAGTAGAGTAGAAAATAGTAGAGTACAGTAGAGTAGAAAACAGTAGAGTAGAATAGAGTAGAGTAGAGTACAATAGAGTAGAAAACAGTAGCGTAGAGTAGGGTAGAGTAGAGTATAGAGTACAATAGAGTAGACTACAATAGAGTAGAGTAGAGCACAGTAGAGTACAGTAGAGTAGAGTAGAGTACAATAGAGTAGAGTACAATAGAGTAGAGTAGAGTAGAGTACAATAGAGTAGAAAACAGTAGAGTAGGGTAGAGTAGAGCACAGTAGAGTAGAGTAGAGTAGAGTATAGAGTACAGTAGAGTAGAGTAGAAAACAGTAGAGTAGAGTAGGGTAGAGTAGAGCACAGTGGAGTACAGTAGAGTAGAAAACAGTAGAGTAGAGTAGGGTAGAGTAGAGCACAGTAGAGTACAGTAGAGTAGAGTAGAAAACAGTAGAGTAGGGTAGAGTAGAGCACAGTAGAGTGCAGTACAGTAGAGTAGAGTATAGAGTAGAGTAGAGTAGAAAACAGTAGAGTAGGGTAGAGTAGAGCACAGTAGAGTACAGTAGACTCTACTGTGCTCTGCTGTACTCTATACTCTACTGAGTAGAGTATAGAGTACAGCAGAGTAGAGTAGAAAACAGTAGAGTAGGGTAGAGTAGAGCACAGTAGAGTACAGTACAGTAGAGTAGGAAACAGGGCTATACAGATGTCCCTGTGATCACTAATATCACTAATACTAATATTGTTATAATGTCCTTCCATATTTCCAGGTTCAGAGTTGCTTCGTCTCTTTTATTATTATTTGATTTTTTTTTTATTTAAATTGTGGACATAACAATACATCACATATGACAATTACATTTCAAATAATTGTCGTCTTGTCGCACCAATGAAAAGGAGCAGAAAGTTAGTCTCTGAACTGGACCCTGCACTAAATAAATGTTTGTTTTTCTTGAGGTTTTTCTGCTGAATCCAGTTTTGGTCACATGGTTTTCCCTCCGTCAAGAGTTTGAAAAATGAGGAAATGGGACGATTCCAGAGCGACCACATTCTGGAGCTGCTTCGAGCATAAACTAAACTTCAACTTCCTTCTGAGTAGAGAGAGATATACTGCTTTAAAGCTCGGGTACCTAACTTATTCTTGCATAAATGTATAAGAAGTCTGGACAGAGAGAGTCGTGTTACTAATTATAATATATTAATGCAGTGTACAAATCAAACCACCACCTGCTTATCTACGTCAGTTATCAGTATCATGTGTTCTTAGCCCTGTGAGTCACTTTTGGACTCTTTGGGCTGCTGTGATGTCACAATATTCAAATAAACTAGTTTTTAAATGGGCCATAAGGCTACAGGTTCGTCAGACACAGTGCAAAATGGATTTTTAAAAAGGTCAAGAAATAAAAACAAATCACAGCGACAGTGGCTCAGTTGGTAGAGCATGACACTTAACCCCACTTTGCCTGAAGCCCCCCCTGAAAGATCAAGGCTGTGATCTCACCGACAGAGCAGCCGTCCTCCTGTGGACTCAGCACCTGCAGGAGGATCATGGAGGGGCTGGTGCTCTGACTGCCAGCCCCGACCCAGAAATGGATTAAGGAGAACAGGATTGATTGAGGTTTTTTTGTTTTTTGTTTATGTTAATATTTTTTGTATAAGTATCCAAAATGGTATCTTGGGTTGAGAGCTGGGCTGAGGCAGAGACTGAAGCAGAGACTTCAGCAAAGACTGAAGCAGAGACTGAAGCAAAGAAGAGACTGAGGCAGAGACTGAAGCAAAGAAGAGACTGAGGCAAAGACTGAGGCAGAGACTGAGGCAGAGACTGAAGCAGAGACTGAGGCAGAGACTGAGGCAGAGACTGAAGCAGAGACTGAGGCAGAGACTGAAGCAGAGACTGAGGCAGAGAATGAAGCAGAAACTGAAGCAGAGACTGAGGCAGAGACTGGAGAATTCAGGTATGAGAAGTTTCTAAATAGACTGTAGAATGACTCTGCCTCGGTCTCTGCCTCGGTCTCTGCCTCGGTCTCTGCCTCGGTCTCTGCCTCGGTCTCTGCCTCGGTCTCTGCCTCGGTCTCTGCCTCGGTCTCTGCCTCGGTCTCTGCCTCGGTCTCTGCCTCGGTCTCTGCCTCGGTCTCTGCCTCGGTCTCTGCCTCGGTCTCTGCCTCGGTCTCTGCCTCGGTCTCTGCCTCGGTCTCTGCCTCGGTCTCTGCCTCGGTCTCTGCTTCAGTCTCTGCTTCAGTCCCTGCTTCAGTCTCTGCTTCAGTCCCTGCTTCAGTCTCTGCTTCAGTCTGCACAGTAAACCATGCAGTAGACACCCGGTGAAGGTCCACTGGTGAGGACCATAAAGCAGATGTCTGTCTGGAGCTGAGCCAACACACTGACACTGCACTTTACAGAGTTTAAAGAAACTCAAAAGATCAAACTTTATACAATGAGGAAAAGAGAGTAGAAAAACTTATGTGTGTGTTTTTAGGAACGTTATAAATATTGGGAAATACAAAAACAGATGCTGCTACAATGACAGTATTACTACATATGTACACGTCTACATTCATACATTTTCTTCCACTTTATCCAGGGCCTGATCAAAAAGGCAGACACCAAGATTCAGCCAACCGTGTGTCATTACCCTCAAATCGCAACAGCAGCTCTAATCCGAGCTCCCCACCCCATCTCGGAGTAAGCACCCAGCACCATCTGGTCCTTCTTTGGGTACATCCCATGTGGACTAAGGGATAAATCGAGAGCTTTGACAGCAGTCGCTGCTCCTACTTCACCACAACAGTCCGACAGAGACGTCTTGTCCATCTCACACGTCCTCAAAATCAGCCGCAATCTACCAATAAAACCATTTAACATCCATCCTTCTCAAATCATTGGTAAATTCTGGTTATTTGTGTCTGGATGTTTCCTTTGTGATTAAAACACAGATGGATTTAAGTCATCAGGAAGAAGAGCAGGGACACAATTTGATATCTAAGAGTTAGTATTATTGTCAGAATAGGCAGTGCTTCAGTCTCTGTTTCAGTCAGAAGCAGAGACTGAAGCAGAGACTGAAGCAGAGACTAAAAGCAGAGACTGAGGCAGAGACTGAAGCAGAGACTGAAGCAGAGACTGAAGCAGAGACTGAAGCAGAGACTGAGGCAGAGACTGAAGCAGAGACTGAAGCAGAGACTGAAGCAGAGACTGAGGCAGAGACTGAAGCAGAGACTGAAGCAGAGACTGAAGCAGAGACTGAGGCAGAGACTGAAGCAGAGACTGAAGCAGAGACTGAAGCAGAGACTGAGGCAGAGACTGAAGCAGAGACTGAGGCAGAGACTGAAGCAGAGACTGAAGCAGAGACTGAAGCAGAGACTGAGGCAGAGACTGAAGCAGAGACTGAAGCAGAGACTGAGGCAGAGACTGAAGCAGAGACTGAAGCAGAGACTGAGGCAGAGACTGAAGCAGAGACTGAAGCAGAGACTG